AGTGATATTATAAAAATGGGATTTTGTATTGAAAAACATTGATTGCATTTAATAAATGATTTTCATAGTTCGTAGATATTTTTCCTTAAAAATTTAGGCTTTTTTATACAGCATATCAAAAAATCAGCGATGCGTTGTTTTTCATTAGCTAATGATAACAATTTCATCCTTCAAAAACTTTCGTCGCATTTTCGGCAGCCACCATATTGGGTTATTGGGATCATTCTTGGCCGCGTTGTCTTTCTTCATAGCTGAGTTGAGGCCGGGCTGGATAGTTTGATGGCCGGTGTGTCTCATACATTTGGCAAATTTTAGCGTCTGTAATATAAAAAAGGACAGTTTAAAGTTATGTAAAATAAATAGTTATAAAGATAACAGTTACATACCGACCTTATTAACACTCAGATTAAGATCTTTCTTAAAGCTAAGTAAATCTTCGTGAGGAATCTTAGATTTTTTTCCTGATTGTTTTGGTCTTCCTTCGACGTTTGAAAAACTAACCTAGGCTAGTTTTTTGCCAGCTAACTCTCTAATACTTTTAGCATCAAAGTGATTCTTACTCTCATCTGCCAATTTGAAGAGATTCTGAAGTTTCTGTTCACTACATGCATGATGTTTCCCAGGAGAAACAAATTTGGTTTGAACTTATTGTTAACATCTTTATTGTGGATATTTTTAAACCTAAATTTTCATAAACTGCTCCCTTGTTTATACCGGTAAACGGCAATGTAACATGTGTTAGCCTTACTCACGATATATTATTAGCTGGCAAATTCTCATTTTACGCCCTTCCACCCTGCTCATGCTCTCGATCACATATCATAAGGGAAGCGTAATATCGCAACAAATTCTTACTATTATACCTGTTTTCTAAGACATGGAGTGGGAGTTGTTCCACCAACAACCCGATGAGACAGCTTATAGAAGTTACATTCAAATTCAAATCCCTGTTCATACATTTGTCCTTGATTTCGTTGAACTTTGATGAAATTGTTCTGAGTTTGGCAGTTTTACCCGAAATTCTCAGTTGTTTTTTAAGTTCACAGTACTTTCCTAATGTTATTAAATTTTACAGACCATCATAAAGTTTGCAAGAATTTCCTCACGTTTAAAGAACTTTTTGCAGAGTATCATTGAAATTCATATAATGTTGGTATTTTTCACAGAACTCTCTACAATTTTTTTTCGAAATTTGTATGGACCGTAGACATTTGTAACCCCCCCCCCCCCAAGAGTATACGTAGTTTATGAACAGCCCCTTACCAGAAGGACATTGAACACCCCTTTAGCTCACAAAATGTCACTGAAGTTGGCAGAATTTTCCTGAAGTTTAAAGAACTTCTCTGAAGATTGACGCACATCTTTAAAGTTTGTAGAACTTCCCTGAAGTTTGTAGAACTTCTCTGAAAGTTGTTGAATTTCTCTTCTTCTTTGGAGGAACTCATTTAAAGTTTGCAGAACTTTCCTAAAATTCCTACAAATTCCCTATAGTTCGCAGAATTTCCTAGAAAGTTGCTGAACCTTCCTGAAAATTTCCTTACACAAAATATGGGAATTGCAATGAAGCTCTATTAATTCTGTAGTAATTCAAGGTGAGGACTACCTGAACTCACTCGGCAAGAGTAGCTAATCCAAGGGGTAAGTCACTCAGCACATTGTGCCGAAATTAAATTTGACACAGCTTGGGCACATTCATCGGCACACCTTCGGCACCAACTCGTAGGCATTAGGTTGTTGTAAATGAAATGGGAGCACTGCTGGATAACTGTCATTGAAGTTGTTCACGACATTACGTGCAGTTTGACTGTATATTCAGGAACATCCTCTTATTGAATATATCTGAGGAACTCAGACCAGCAGTTAACTTATAGATCTAAATACGAAATGAAGGTTCTAGAGTGGGCTCAAGAGAAAGAAGCAGTTATTCAGACCCCATTAGCACCCTTAGTTCAAATAATGATGCAACTCACACAAAACAAATTACAGAAGTTTATTCATCATCCTCTAAAGTCGCTCTCCAACAATGTTCCCCAACGGTACCATCTCTTTTCGGCCGATGATAGACCGTTGTTTTTACAGCACGATAGGCTAGGTTTCTGGTCTGCCTTTGAGGGCATTATAAAATCCTAAAACACAGGACTTTTATCATCCTATGAGCATAAAACACCAACACCCGACACTTCCCGCGTCATCCTCAATCCGAATAATCCTTGCGATTTCAAACCAGAACATTCAATGTGTCAGAAATACCGGGTTGCCGGGATGGGTATTTTACAAACAATCGCAGTTTGCTCTATGACCGGCACAATCGGCACACTGACAAAAAGATGACCCAAGATTGGTGTGCGGAGTGACCTACCCCTTGAGCTAACCTCATGTGAGTTTCATTCCTGTATTAAGAGGAATTATCGGTTAAACGATATTCAAACCAATTCGTCATGGTTGCCAGAATTTATTTTCGATCACACCGTTGAGTCAAACATATCATTTTTTTTTAATCCAGGCAAATTTTTCAAGCCTCAGGATGTTTTGGTGGCAAATGCCACCTTTGCCACCTGCTGAGTACGGGACACAAAACTTTCCGTTCCTACTATCTCCTTTATTGAACTCCGGTAAAAATCTTTCAACAATCGTCGCTACTAAAGTGGCTTGATTTTTTTTTACAGAAGCGAACTCTCTATATTCTTCATAAGGGTTTTTTTTTATTTTTCCTGATTTTCTACACGATACCTCCAATAAAAAAACACTCGAAACAGGACAAAAATCAATGCCTACTATGATTACGTAGGTGTCTCGGACTGTCCTGCTCGTTTTTGTCTCTTATACTCTTATGAGGGAAGAGAAATTAAATAAGAAGTTGTTCTAGCAACAAATGTTAATTGATTTTGCACAAAGTCGACTTAATCAATACGGATTTTACTTGAGAGTCAAAAAGAACTCTTCAATGCCATTTGGATTAATTCAATCATCTGTTGAACCTTGTTTAACTGCATTTGTTCAATTCGTAATAGTTTTGTATCGTCAATAGTCCATATACGCCTTCATAATCGGCTTTGTAAATTTCAAAACACTTTTTCTCAAAAAACCAAAGTGAAATATTTTAAAACCATCTCAGATTTGATTGTTAGGATCAATATCAACATCCTGTGAAGGAAAATCTGAGGTACATGAATGTTGCAAAAAAGTGCCTTCAGACATAGCGTGCGGTTGTTTTTTGAAACTCCTTAAGGTAAGTACACTACCGATGATAAGTTTAAGGACACCCCAAAAAACCATACAAATATGTTTTGTTCAATTTTCGATCTCCAAAGATTATTTGAATGGTATGAATGGTATAGCATAAGAGAAGGTCCATTAATTATGTCACGCAAATTTGGCCCATTTTCACCCCCCCCCCCCCTTCCCCCCTTTGTCACATTTTTTATATGGACCTAAATCGTTTTTTGTAAGGCTCGTCACAGTTTCCAAAACACTCCTCTCCCCTAAAAGTGTGACATCATTAATGGACGATTCCTTAGTGTTCTACTATTACTTTTGTTTCAAAATTTGGCCAACCCAATTCTGAGAAAATCAGTCACGATTCACTTTGGGTGAACTTTTAGCACACAAAATTTGAAAATTATATTGAACAATTTGCCTTCGAGGAAAGTTCCATTCAATACCTTTCAAATGATCTAAAGAGAACGAAAATTGGACGTAATATGGCAGAGATATGAACATAACAAATTTGTCATGTTTTTTGGGGGTGTCCTTAATTTTATGCTCGGGAGTGTACTTCAGGGCCCACTTGCGTAGCTGCATTCCTGCCGAGTTGAATATGGCATCAATTTGTTCCCGTAGCAAGATTGCTTCGAGGACTGTTCCTGCGCACGAAAAGAAGTCATCGACATAAAAATCTTCGCAGGTTGCCTTCGCTGTGAGGGGATCATCCTGCGCTAGCTTCTTCAGAGCTCGAGTAGATAGATATGGAGCTGAAGCGGTGCCTTTTGTTACGGTCAGCATTCATCGTTCAGGGAAATTCCGGTGGGGGTGTGGTCATTCAAGCAAGCTCAGCTTAACAAAAAATTCACTCACTGAGCTGATCATTTACACGTAACGACTTCCGATGTTCACTTGTTCTAAATTAAGGTTTGAAGAAGCTTACAGTGAGTCGACTGGAATTAAGTATAACAGAGGGCTCTTTTGGTATGAGCAAGATTATTCACCAAACATGGAATTCAATTTTGGACGCAACACTTTGACTAGATTTCGAAACTGACGAAATTCAACAGCCCAAACCCTTCAAGCAATTTCCCAACTCGCGAGAACATTCCAGCACCACCCTCGCGCGCGTAGCATCGAATCCTCCAAACATCTCCATTTGTTTGACCATTTTCCAGCTATAAATCATGAGTTTAATTTACACTCTATTTACATATCGTATTGTGCCGTCAATTGGGTGTAGAGAGTGAGAGAGAGAGAGAGAGAGAGAAAGAGATAGACAATACCATAGTCACTGCTACACACAGTCGCAGTGCTGGGTGGAACCGGGGGAAGTCGGCCAGTCAGCATGGGGTTGTAGTTTTCAGCATCAGCAGTCGGTGCGGGAGTTTGCCGGTCGAGGATGCTTACCATGCTCGCTCACATGGAGCCAATTCAATATCATTTCGATTTTTAGCTCTATCATTCAGTTTTTACCCTTGCTTAGAATTGCGAGCCAACTGAACGATACCTGCTCGATTCCCCATGGAGACGTAGACCGGACCTGCTTTGAATGGACGCCTGGTTCACAGTTGAACAATATTTGAATTGGGCGGAGGTAGGCAGGGAGGGAGTATTAATCCTCTTTCGCTTGTTCCTACTGTTTTGTGTGCAAGCATGATGCCGCCGACATGCTCATAGACGTATGATGCATCGATGGAGAGCCAGCATGTGGGACGTTCGTTCGATTTTTTTTTGTGTCGATGTATAACAGGATTAATCTCATGCCACTTTTTTGTACTGTTTTGCATCCGTTTCAGCTGCTGCCCCACAAGTGCTGGATGAGGATGAATTGCTAGTTAATCGACTGGGCACGGTGGTCGGAGCGGTTGGAAACACCCTATCGCAGATCTTCTTCGGTACGAACAATCTCCGCTCGGAGGTTACGTTCTGGTGTGCCAATCGGTATGGTTTCTTATGTTGGATTGCAAGGATTGATCTGATAATTGAAGTGGCTCATTTACAGGGATCATGGTGAATTGATGCAAGTGGTGGTAAATGATCCGGACGTGCACTACAAGCTGGACGTTTCGAAGCCGATCATGTTCCTGACGCACGGTTGGACCGACAACGTGAACAAAACCTGGGTCAAGGACACCGTCGGGGATTACATCGAGCACATCGGTGGCAACGTGTGTGCCGTGGATTGGAGCCGGTTGGCTTTGGTGGAGTACAATCTGGCGGCGAAGAACACTCCGAAAGTTGGCAAATATCTGGCCAAGTTTGTCAAGTTCCTACTGAAGCAGGGCCTCACGATGGATCAGGTGACCCTGGTCGGCCACAGTATGGGTGCGCACATATCCGGAATTGCTGGGTATTCACTGGACGGGACGGTACCGATGATCTTGGGCTTAGATCCGGCGGGACCGGCATTCACGAAACCGTTCCTGGTGTCGGCGAACAAGCGGCTGGACAAAAGTGATGCAATGTTTGTGCAGGCCATTCACACTGATAAGAACATCATTGGCTCCTCGACGAATCTGGGCCATCAGGATTTCTACACCAATAATGGGGCGAGCCCGCAGCCGGGATGCGAGTTTCCACTAGTTAACAATGATACCACCAAGTCGTATCGTAAGTATATGGAATGAATGGTGGGTGAATGATTAGTTGGTTTAACGCTTCGAGCACCAATCCTAAATGTAATTCTTCAGTTACTACAGTTACTTACCAGCCTTAATTGTTATGGTATATATCTAATTGTTTTTACATTATTCCTGCCTTGGCAACTCAGTATTTTAAACAGGTTTTTAACATGCATGTCAGTATTACAATTGAAATCTTAAAACTAAAAACTAAAACCAAATCTTATCTAAGCATAAAGGGAATTAATCGTTGCAATTGAGGATTGCAACGATTTTTGCCTGATTATTTTGTTGGACATCTGTTCTAAAGTCTCAAAATTCAAAATTCTATGTACGTCGGTAGTATTGTACCAGGTAGACAACTTCAAAATCATCTTCAGAACTTTGTTCTGAATCCTTTGAAGTGATTTTTTCCTGGCAGTGCAACAACTAGACCATATTGACACAGCGTAAAGCATGGCCGGTCTAAAAACTTGTTTAAATATTAAAAGTTTATTCGTCAGACAAAGTTTGGATTTCCTGTTTATAAGAGGATACAAACATTTTATATATTTGCTACATTTGGCCCTCAATGTGATCTTTAAAAGTTAATTTTTGGTCAAGTATTAATCCAAGATATTTCACTTGGTTTGACCAGGAAATTGGAACTCCGATCATAGTGACTATGTGACTACTACTAGGTTTCAAAAACGAAGCTCTGGGCTTATGTGGAAATATTATAAGTTGAGTTTTGGAAGCGTTGGGAGAAATCTTCCATTTTTGTAAATAAGAAGATAAAATATCTAAACTTTTCTGCAGTCTGCTGCAAATAACACGAAGACTTCTTCCTTTAGCGGAAATGCCTGTGTCATCAGCGAACAAAGATTTGTGGCAACCCTGAGGCAAATCAGGGAGGTCCGAAGTGAAAATGTTATACAATATAGGCCCAAGAATGCTACCCTGAGGAACTCCTGCTCTAACAGGTAGTCTATTAGATTTGGTATTTTGATAATTTACCTGCAGAGTTCTGTCAGTTAAATAATTTTGAACTAATTTCATAATATAAAGTGGAAAATTAAACTTTTTCAATTTAGCAATCAAACCTTCATGCCAAACACTGTCGAATGCTTTTTCTGTCTAGAAGAGCAACTCCAGTTGAGTGATATTCAGATTTGTTTGAACGAATTAAATTGGTAACTCTTAAGAGTTGATGAGTAGTTGAATGCCCATGGCGAAATCCAAACTGCTCATCTGCAAACATTGAGTTCGTATTGATATGAAGCATCATTCTATTTAAAATTATATTTTCAAAAAGTTTACTTCTTGAAGAAAGCAAACTTATTGGACGGTAGCTAGAAGCTTCAACTGGATTTTTATCCGGCTTCAAAATTGGAACAACTTTTGCATTTTTCCATTTATCAGGAAAGTATGCCAAATGGAAACATCAGTTAAATAATTTTACCAGGTACTCTCTGGGAGTTTTTTGATGAGTATATAGAAAATTCCATCATCACCTGGAGCTTTCATATTATGAAACTTTTTAGTTATAGACCATACTTCGTCCAAATCAGTCCCCCAGGAATCATCAAAAATATTTTCCCGAGAGAAAATATTCAGAAAATCCCGAGCAACCTGATTCTCAATATTTAGGATTAGTAAGACCCAAACTGAAATTATGGGAACTCTCGAATTGCTTAGCAAGTTTCTGAGCTTTTTCCAAATTTGTGATCAAAATTTGACCACCTTCTTTAAGCGCTGGAATAGGCTTTTGAGGTTTTTTCAAAATTTTTGTGAGTTTCCAAAAGGGTTTGGAACTTGGGTCTAATTTAGAAACATTATTTTCAAAACTTTTGTTCCTCAGGGCAGAGAATCGCTTTTTAATTTGTTTTTGCAAATCCCGCCAGATAACTTTCATGTCCGGATCGCGTGTTCTTTGATATTGTCTCTTACGGACATTTTTAAGAGGGATCAAGAGCTGAAGATCGTTGTCTATTATAATTGAATCAAATTTAACCTCGCATTTTGGAACTGAGGCAGCTCTTGCTTCAACTATAGAAGTAGTCAGAGATTCAAGAGCATAATTAATTTCATCTTTGGTTTGCAAAGGAATGTTTGGATCGAAGTTATATTCCATAAATGTTCGATACTGCTCCCAATCAGCTCTATGGTAATTGAAAGTAGAGCTGTTGGGATTACAAATTATTTCTTGGGATTTTTCAAAAGTTACTGGAAGGTGATCAGAATCGAAGTCAGCATGGGTAACCAATTGGCTACAAAGTTGACATGAATCAGTTAAGTCCAAATCAATAGTTGAGGGATTTCTTGTAGAAGAAAAGCATGTTGGGCTGTTTGGATATTGAATAGTGTAATATCCTGCAGAACAATCATCAAACAAAATATTACCATTGGAATTGCTTTGAGCATTATTCCATGAGCGGTGTTTTGCATTAAAATCACCAATAATGAAGAATTTAGACCTATAAAGGGTAAGTTTCTGAAGGTCACCCTTGAGAAAATTCTTTTGCTGGCCTACGCATTGGAATGGCAAATAGGCAGCTATAAACGTAAGTTGTCCAAATTTTGTTTCAATAGGAACTCCCGAAGTTTCAAAAACTTTGGTTTCAAATGAAGAAAGAATTTTATGTTTGATTCGTCTATGAACAATGATGGCAACGCCACCACAGGGTCCATCAAGACGATCAATTCCTAATTCAATGGAACACATTTTCCGTAAATCCTACGTTTATTAAGCCTTTTACAAAAATGCATCGACGCCCTGCCGGGTGGCCTTACGGCAGTTGGCTTGAACCTTAGCCATGGCCAAAGAAAAGATGGATGTTCTTTAGCTCTTTCGTTGCTTTGGCGATCAGCCGTTCCTCCGTTTTGGCAAAGAAATTATTGGAATAGACCCTCAGTTTGAGGTTCGCCCAAAAATTTTCTATCAGGTGCAGCTGGGGGACGTTGGGAGGGTTGGCGGTCTTCCACGACCACGCCTCGCCGGAAACATATTTTTCACCAGCACCTTCAGCCGCTCCTTCTGGGTGAACGGCCGACCTCGATTGACGCTTTGGCATAACAATGTCCATCTTGCCCAGGTACTTCTTCACCGTTTGGCCGGTTGCTTCGACCTCCCGGCCCAAGGAACGATAAGGCCCTCGGTCTTCCTCTTCAGCTTCTGTTGCATTTTATGGTCACGCAGCACCGTCGGGCGGTTGGAACCAGGCTTCCGTTGGACGCTCTCGCCTTTCTACAGAAGAGAGAGGATGTTGTAAATGCTGGATCGGCTATATCCGGCGGACACTAAGTGCCTCACGATATCCAACTTTTTCGCTCCGGGGTGGAGCTGGCAGTACGAAAAAACCCTCGAGAGTTGCTTGACTGTTTTCGCTATGGCTGCTGCAAATCAACTGATAGCGCTGTCATTTTTTTTCTGTACACAACAGGGTTTGCTATGATTGGCGATGCATAAGTAGACTCACCACCAGGTGGCAAGGTAATCGTATGAAAATGTGCTAAAATCATTCCATTTTTTAATGCATACGTCTGGGGGCAAGACAGCTTTTGATCATGAGTAATATTAGAGTTAATTTTGAGCAACTCTGAGTAACTCATTTTTCTCAACATGCAATGCACGGCAACACAGCAACCTTGTTGTGTTTATTCCCCAACTGTCAAAGAAAGACGTTCAACGATGATAAATATTTCTAAATTCTGCAGCTTTCCATTGTCGAAAGGTGAATCCTGATGAATGTGGGTATCGTATTGGAATAGCTGTATAAATAATGAGAATGGTGGTTTACACTGGATAACCATCCATAGATAGATCCCAATGACCATCCTACTGCTTCGTGCCAATCCTTTGTTAGCCGTTTTCATCCGGATCTAGTGCAGGCTGTTATCGGTCGACGTTAACCATAGCATTTGCAGATTCAAAATATGATAAATTTCTTCTTCTTTCCTTTATTTAACGTCGGTCTCTGTTCTGCAATCTAGTGCCAATCACCGACGGACATCGATTGCCATCCATTGACGGCAATCGAATGTGCAGGAAGGCAGCTTCCACACCTGCGTAGGATATCGCACCCATTCAACACATATGAGCCGGGACCAACGGCTTTACTTCCCTTCCGAAGGAAGACGTGACCAGAGATTTTTATGCCTCAGAAAAATCCCACCGACCTCGGCTGGGATTGAACTCAGACCCATTGGGGTGTTAGAAAGCAGTCACGCTTACCACTACACCACCGGTGCCGGCTATATGATAAATTTGTCGAAGATTCAAACTGTGGTGAATTTAACCAAATGTGCTTCGACAAATATGATAAATTTGTCGAGGTACATTTGGTTAAATTAACCACAGTTTGAATCTTCGACAGGCATCAAAGTTACGACTACTACTTTGTAATAGTATTCTCTGACTTGTGTCTGAATGCCCAAGAATTAATGCAGAACTTTGAGGCAGTAACCTCATAGCTCTGCAATAATACTTGGGCATTCAGAGAAGTCTAGAAAAATAATGCTGGTTGTCATGATTTCCAGAAAAAAATATTTATAGGCATTTCTATTTGCCACTAAGTTTGACCCGAGATTAATAGAAAAGCAATACGTTGTCATCGTATAGCCATATTTAAAATTTTATGTTTTTATAAAACCAAATCAAGCTCTCATCCATTTTGAATTCTCAACTTATTCATTCTTATTTGAAATGATGCAATTTGCTATTGTAGACATGCAGAACCTCTGATTTGCCAAGCACATGAAGGCCCCATAAAGCACGTCTTGCCGGATATACGATGATTTCATGTTAGGCCATCTTCGGATATGGCATTTTTACCTTATTGCCCTTCAAAGCGAAGTTCTTAAATTTCGCTTAGATTTCATGCTGTGAATGAATTGAATTGATTGTAAAGCGATTTATTTACGATCACCGCCTTCGACTGAACTACTTAATACTATTTTCTAGACTTAATTCCTAATCCTATGTGAAAATTCAGTTTTGGACATGTTAAA